CATCCCTGAGGGAAGCGCCGCCTCTGCTCCGGGCTTCTCCGCCCGCTCGCCCGCTCCTTCCCGGCCGGACCCCGCCGCACTCCACCCCGGCGGCGGGAGGAGCAGCTCTCCAGTCAGCCTTTGCAGCCCCCCGTCCTTTTTTCTCTTCCACGCACCCTCCCGGGCCTCCTCTCATCTCTTGGCTGGGCGCAGAGACCAGGAAAGAGGCTGGGGTCGCCACGGCAGAGGTTGTTGCCGCCACCCCCCTGCGGGGGTGGCCGGGGTTCCCGGCTGGGGGGGCACCGTTCCGGGTGAGGCATCCACCATGGTGAGGCCCCTGAGCCACTGCCCCCGCGCCCCCCCGGCCATCGCTGCCTCCTGCCCCTCGGTGCTGCTGCTGCTCCTCCTGCTGTTGCTCCTCCATCTCCAGATCGGATCACGGTGAGGGAAAGATGAGCGAGGAGACGGCGACTTCTGACAACGAGTAAGCGCCTCATTGATCTTACTACCCCCCTTCCTCCGCTGTCCCCCAGACCCCTCGAAGACACGGGTGCGGGAAAGCGTGCAGCCCTGGAGAGTTCGGTGCATCTCGTTCTGCAGATAACATTTGATTTCTTTAGCCATTTAATTTTAATGGCAGCCGCCCCCCTCCCCATTTAGTTGCTTTCTTTGGGGGAGGGGTATCGAGGGTTGGGGTTGGATGGCAGTTTTACGTCCGGGAGATGGAGTAATGTGGATGGATAGGTGGAGGCAGGGCAGAAATTAGCCCTTTGCCTGGAAGACCTCCGGCCTGTCCTTTTTCACTTGAGCGTGCCAATCACCGTACCCTGAATATCCATCCTGCTTCCTTTATAGCTATTTCGCTTGGAAACTAATGTGTGGGAGCACCTCCTGCAGCAGCAAACTGCTCTTGAATCTTAATTCGATGAGTCAGTGACTCTTAAAAACCGATTAAGCCTCCACCCCCTCCCTTCCTTTTTTAAACTTATGACCTGTAAGATTCTTGTAAAAAATGGGGCTAGGGGAACATTTTTAGAATTTAATAGGATTAAGGACGCCTGGAGTGTGGGAGATGTTGAACCATTATATTTTACCTCAGCGAACATCAGACTTGTCTTTATCAGGTGCCCAGAAGGGTTTTGAATGCTGGTATTTGTTCTTCAGCTCTACGAAAATACACCGTTTACGTTGATGTAACATCTTAACAGTCTTTCCATTGCTGCACATGCTGATGACTTCAGGGATTAACTTCTAGAGCATCCCGGTTAAAGTTTTTGTTTACGCGGGCTGTCCTTATGTTTTTCTAAACGAAATACTTTGCCTTTTACCATATTTTGCTTTCACGTAATCGCTGCCTGGAGAAGTGATGACGCGATGACAGTTTTCTGTTGGGGTGGGATTTCATTTCACGCAGGATCCTAGCAGGCGTTTTCTTGTAACTCAAATTTTGTTATCTTTTGAGGGTTGGAAAGAGTTAAGTGAGTTAGGGCTAGCCCTCGGATGCATTCCTTTAAATAAAGTGCATTCCTCGAGTCAGACCTTTTTGAGAGAACTTTCAAGTCCAAAGCCTAGGCCTGTTTAACATAAAATAGCTGGGGAAACGCTGAGCCGCGTCTTCCCTCCCCCGCCCTCCTTCCCCCGCCACACTCGCCTGATGAGCGGGTGTGGGAGAAGGTAGATTGCTGCAGTGTCAGTGCAGCCGAGAAGCAGAAGTGGCCGCCATGTTCTCTCTCTCTCTTTTTTTTTTTTTGTGAATCGCCCTCATTTGCATAGCGCACTCTTCATTCATAAAAAAATAATTAAACATCCATCACCTTGGACATCTTGAAAGGGTTTCCCAAGGAAAAAAAAAAAAAGAGTCGAAGCTCGATGGTCTTCGTGTCGATTTTTGAGTTGGGCAAGTCAGGAGAGTTCGAAGTTAGAGGTTAAATTCAAAAACGCACGCGCACCCAGACAACTACCCCTGTTCTCAGAATGTTGACACAGTTATGTGGGAAATATCAGTTCGGGGAGGTGCTGGGATCACGTGATCGCCTCCATTCATAAAATACCTGGCTGTCCATTCACAGTGCAGTGCACTGTCTCGCTGCCTTCCGCAGATTAGACCTGCTTTCCGAGAGATCAAGAAGTGCTGTAGCTCAGATAACGCTTCGTGAGGACGACAACTGCTGAAAATTCTGAACCGAAGCACGATAGTTTTTATAAGTATTTTTTAAGAAAGCAGCTTGGATCAAAATGTCAAGTTAATTTGAGAGATAGGAAAAGACTAATTACCATATTTAAAGTGAAATACTGAATACTACCTCCTCGTTGGGTGCAACTAATAGAAGAGCAGATGAGGGAATGCGAATTGACACACGTGTAAAATACAGTTTCTAAACGGGCTCTTTTTGTAATACTTGCTGTGGACAAAGTCAGAGTGCAAGTTTTTGGTGTAGTGATGTCAGTGGATGATCTGGTTGTTACCCGAAAAATGAGTAAACATTCCTAGTTGGTTAATCCCGAAGACGTTGATACTTGAAACACTAAATGGCAACTTTTACTGGGAGGATTGCTTCTTTTTAAAAAAAATTTTAAATGTACTTAGTATGGGACAGCTTGGAAATAACCTCACTCACCCAGACTTTTAGAATTCTGTTTTCACAAATTTATCCTGCTTTATTAATGTTATTTCCTAGGAGTTTTGTTATGCTAGTTTTTATAGGACAAAATTAATGTTTTAGCATATACTATTTTGCTATTAGATGTTAACTCTTCATGGGGACAAACTCTTGGGGTTTTATTTAAATTTTTTTTAATAATTAGTAAGTGATGTGTTCATTTGGTAGTCAGTTTTATTAGGGTCAACATTGTGCATTAGCTAAACCACAGTGAACTTGTTTGGAATGTAACTTTTTTTGTGGTAATTTATATATCTCATCTTTAATATATAAAGTAATGTTTTGAAATGGCAATTTATTATTTATATTCATAGATATGAAGATACAAGAGATATATTATGACAGATGTCCTCGAAGCCTTAGCATAGTTTAAAACTGCCTTGGACTTTATTTATAAAATCCATATGCATATTTTTTCCCTTTTTTTGTCTCATAGGAATTTAATTACAGTAGAGACTGATTTTAACACGCGAATGTTTTTTCACTTGATTTCAACCTTTAGAAAAAAAAGTGAATTGCTTCTCGGCCTTTTGGCTAAGATCAAGTGTAGAAAAACGTGAAAATCATATCTTCAGAAACCTTAGCCTTTTCTGGTCATTGTTGTAAACTCCAGTAAGGCCTTTGAAGCCTCATTTTGAAATCCTCTATTACATGCTCTATTATTTGAAATAAGAGTTACATGTAGAGAGATAGATAGCTCTCAGAGGTTGATTGTGAGTATATATTTAATCAAGAATTAGTGAAGGATCTGTTATGTGTAAGACTTTCTCTTATGCAATACCAAACTTAGGGAAGGGTTGGTAAGATTCTGCTTTTCTTCCCCAACCTTTAGTAGGAACTAGAACTGAATTAAAAGCGCAGTTTAAAAAAATAATTCCCTCCACGCAGGAGTAATAGTTTATTTCAGATAATGTACAAAATGGCCTTTGAAGTGAATAAATTAAAATTTATTTACATTTCTACTAAAATAATGTCTTAACACTTGATATATAAACAAACCTTTCATTTCCTATGATGTTCATGAATCATATTTATTGGATTTTTTCCTATGTGGCAAGCACTGTGATAAATATATACTTTACTCGTGTATTATATAATTTATGTATATACATGTATTTTCAACAGAGTGGAATTGCATAGTAGATACTATTGTAGCTTAATATATTGTGAATATTTTCCTGTGCCATTACTTTCTAAAATATCATTTTAATGGCTACATTATATTCAATGTATAACATACATTAGTTTTAATCATTCTAATTTTGGATGCTTCTGAACAGTGCTGCCTTTGATCCTGCGTTCTGTCTTCATCCAAATATATTACTTTTTCCTTGAGATAGTATAGGAATGGAGTTAAAAGGGATGCAAGTTTTAAATTATTTTATTCTTTCTGCCAAATTGCCCTCTAGAAAAGAAAGACTCAGTGTATGAGAGTGCTTATACCTTGAAATGTCTGTCCAGTTCTCTTAGAAAAAAATTTTGCCAGTTATTTATTTTAATCCTCACCCGTGGATATGTTTTATCGATTTTTAGAGAGAGGAAGGGATGGAGGGAGGGAAGGAGAGAGAGAGGGAGAGGCAGAAAAAGAGAGAGAGAGAAAAAATGTGTTGTTCCACTTACTGATCTGATGCATTCATTGGTTGCTTCTTGTGTGTGCCCTGAACAAAGATCGAACTTGCATTCTTGACGTTTGGGGACATTGTGATCTAACCCAGCCAGGGCCTTTATTTTTTAATATTTAGATTTAGTTTGCTGTTTATGACAAATTTTGTATCATAGCATCATCTCATTTTAGAGCCCAGAACCAGAGTCATTACAGACTCCTAACATGTTGATTTTTGTGGCACTCAGAATGATTTTTTTAAAAAAAAAGTATTGATGTATTTTTGTTAAAACATAGTTTATTATTATTGTTAAAATATAGTTCATTCGTAATGGATCTTAGACTAAGGTGTTAAATTGCTTGAGACATCAAGTTCTTAGAATTCAGACCACTAATCCCTAACTGAATCTTGTTTACATTCATAATTGAAGGAAATACCAACAAACCATAGCAGAATTAGAAGTACTTGTGATTGCAATTGTATTAGTTCCCTAGGGTTGCCATAATAAAGTACCACAAACTATATTAAAACAATAGAAATTTTTTGCCTCACAGTTTTGGAGGTTAGCAGTTCAAAATCAAGGTGATGGCAGGACCATGCTCCCTCTGAAATCAATAGGCAAATCCATCTTTGCCTCTTCCTAGCTAATGTGGTTGATGGCAACTTTGGCATTCCTTGGCTTACAACTGCCTAATTCCATACTCTGCTTTCATCATCACATGGTGTTCTCTTTGTGTATCTCTGTGTTTTCACATGGCCATTTCATAAAGATCAGTCATATTGGATTAGGAGCCCACCCTATTCCAGTGTGACTTCCTCTTAATATTCTTCAACAACCCTATTTCCAAACAAGATCACTTTCTGAGCTACTAGGGTTTTGGACTTCAACATTATTTTTAGAAAGATATAATTCACCCATAACAGCAATAGAAATCAGATTTTTTTAATAGTACAATTGCTGTCCAGGGATTAATAGGTATCTTGAAATAGCACTCATTATAGTCACTAGTCACTAGTTTGAAATTATTATAGTTATTAAACTATTGCTAGAGCTTATATTTTAATGTGTTAATAAAACACATATATTTTGTATTACTATTTCAAAATTAAAATATTTTGATAATTATGCCAATGTAATTGATTTCTTTTATAATCCTATGTATTTTGTTTTAAGCCTTTAATATTGTTCTGAGAAGGGGGCCATAGGCTTCAACAGACTG